AAGGAAGGAAGGAAGGAAGGAAGGAAGGAAGGAAGGAAGGAAGGAAGGAAGGGAAATCATTCATTGTTAATAGCATGAAATATTAAGGTATACCTAAAAGAAACAATATTCCTCAATATCATTTTACCTTTATCCCAAGCCTTTTCCTTGTATGTTCTTCTTGCTGTCCTCCCCATCCGCCTTTCACATGCACCTTCATGTTTGCTCAGAACTACTGACTAAGTCCCCCCCCAAGCCCTGATTCCTTCCGCTTGCAGTTCTCCAAAATGGATCTTGTTTTCCCAAACAGCTGCCTCTACTTTTCAGATTCCCCTCCGTTCTGACACCCTGCAAGTGCAGGGTGAACTTTCTTGGTATTATCAAAACAGTGCAGCATCACAGTGAACTTTCATTATGGAACTCACTTCACCAGCTGTTTTCAGAATGTTCAGTGAGCCTCTATTACAAGGAGATGTTCTTTGTTCAACAGTTCAATGAGTGGGACAATCTTGTTCTAGGCCTTGTTTCTCATTTTATTATAAGTAAGCAAAAATTATCCATTGTAAGATGATAAATGTTTCTCTCGCTGAGTTAGATCCTAAAGCGGATGACAGACACTCACCTTCAGAAAAGTGGACATCATGGCAGAAATACATATTAAATGGCAGTTTCTTGGAGGAGAATCTTGGAGGGCATATGTATTTTCTAGACTGCTTGATTAACTCCATACAAAACATATCCCATTATAAGTAAACAGTGGCTTTCTCTCTCTTTCAATGGCCCTTTCACAAGAGAATTAAGTAAAGAACACCTGTTAACTAGAGAAACGTCTAATAGCTCCCAGAAGTAATTTTTCTACTGCTACCTACACCTCAACCACTGTCTTCTTGTCTTTGAGTCTAGAATATATTGGACATTGACTGTAAGCCAATCTGACAGTGCTGATGCTCAGAGAAATGCCTATTACTTGTCAAAAAAGAAAGCAGAGACAAAGATGTCCTTGTCATCTTTCTAAAAATCACACTTAACAAACAAAAGAAAGAGTTGAGGAGGATTTTTATCAACTTGATGGGAGTATTCCTAAGACATTAAGATATGTTTTCATGGCTCTAACATTTACACAGACAGACCTCACTCTACAATGGATCCTGTTCATGATAGATCAGTACTTCTCAACTTCTAGACCAAAGAAGCCTAGCTTTGTATCACAATATTAAATAACAGTTCTCTATTGTAAGATGTAGTTTGAGAATAATGAATTTGATAACTTTCCTGTGATAACACATATCAATATAAGAAAATACATATTTTAGTGTATTCTAATGAGAGACAAAATGAGGCAATCTGATATTGGCATCACTATATAATTCCTACCTGGATATAAGAGCTAAAATTATCATTTATGGTAATGTGTTGTACTTTAATATCTTAAATAATTTTGCTTATTAATCGTGTGATTTTTATTTTAAAATGATAAACTACTTTTAGTAAAGTTCTGAGGAAACTAGAATAATATTTTTCCTTGATATCCGTGGTAACTGTAGTTTCAAAACATTCATGTCAAAAACATTATATGCTTACAAGTGCTGAGTAAAATCCATTGGTTCCAATAATTATTCACATGTATTCTACTTCCTACATGTCTGGAAGATTATTAAAATACACAGCAAGATGAAATGACCCTTTTTAATTCAAGGCCAAATGTCTAATTCCCAATCTCACCACTAGATCCTAGTCCTTATAATGGTGACATCTAAAGTGGCCTTTGGGACTAATGTTACTTCCCATTCCCATATAGCACCCATTTGTGTATCAATTAAATCAAAATACCAGACAGCTTACAAACTTTTCATTTATTCTGTGAAACCTCATCAATACAGTATTATAAAGTACAGAATGTTGCATATCTATATTCTAGATAACACACATAGAAAGGGATAGACCTCTTATCATAATATTGAAAAATGCATCAGCATATCTGAAATCTGGAAAATATAATCCAGTCTATAAAAGTAGGATGCACAGTCTACAATTACAGTCACCATAAGGAAAAAAAAAAAGCCTTCAAGGAAACCTTCAGGTAAAAGTTTATTTTAAACATTTCATTTTGTCTTTACTTACACATTTTGTAGGAATTAAACATTTAAATGTTTATAGGTCTTAGTAATATTCTTGCAAACCTTATGAATTAAAATGAGGAAAAAACTTAGAAAATAAATAAAAACAGAAAATTAGTAATAAGTGAAAGAAATGTCTTTTAAAAAACAGATTGGAAAGGAGAGATAGGAAATTTTAAAGAGAAAAAGTTGGAAACAGTCATGTTTGCACAGTATGTGCTACATTTTTTTCTCTTGGGATTAGTTGCTACGCCTTAGTCATTTCTCTGAAACCAGGGGCTCAAAGGGCACTTCTTATCCCTCATATGGAGATGGGATCCATGAAAGAGCATCGACTAATGAAGAGCCTTTAAGATGTAAGGATGTCCCAGGAAGAACTCTCTTCACCACCTGTTTTACTCAACTACTAATGACCTCAGTTTATATGAAGCCTCAAATTTGGACCTGGCTCAGTTTCCTGCAAAGTTTTATCATGAAAAAATATCATGAAACTGAGGGATACAGAAGCACAAATAAGAGGAATAGGCAAAAAACAAAACAAAACAAAACAAAAAAACCCCAGTTAAGTACAAATCATAAGCCTGTACGTGAACCTAATTATGAATCATTTTTGAAATAAAAGTTTAATGCAGTTTAATATGCCATATGCCACAGGTTATGAACCAAATTGCAAAATATTACTAAGAATTTGGCAAAAGAGATCCATGTAGTTTAATATTTTAAAGAATGGAGTTGTATTACTTCTCAGCATGTTTATTCATTTATTTTCAAATGTTCTCTAAAACTCTCTTAATACAACACAATCTCACATATTCTAAGTTAAGGATTATTCCATAACTTCTCCAAATTTCTTTCTGCCAAAAGTATTGTTTTTTGATTACTTAAAAACATATGACTTTAAGAGTGGTGTACAACTTAAAGACTTCAATACAACTTCTTATCTTCAAATGCAGAAACATCCATTAACTGTGGCCCAACCCAAGACATGTAAAAATCCTTTCAAAAAAAAAAAAAAAAAAAAGAAGAGAAAAAAATGTAATTGTCCTGTATTGCAGAACATGTGCCAGAAACATTCTCTAAGTTAGACTTTAACCATTAATTCTGCACCTAAGGAAGGTTGCAAAGAATTTTCAGAGGAAAGCATGTGATTGATGATAGTGTGCTGTCAAATCCCCATGTCCTTAAACACAACCTTTAAAAGAACAAGGCCAGAAAAGCTTGTTAGAGCAGAAGTCATGCTGTTTCTTCCTTTTCTTCCTGTTTCTGATACAGAAAAGTCTCTTGCTCCTCTGCTTTCCTGGTTTCTTCTCAGGGTGTGTGTGCGTGTTTACCTTTGCCAACTAGTCAGGTAAACCAAAGAGAGTTTGCCTCTTTGGAGATGTTTGATAACCAGGATTAGCCTTAGGCAAGTAACTAACTGTAGCTAACTGTAGTTCAAAGCCTATGGGAAACCATATTTCAAACCCAGGAAGTCCCCAGGCCCTAACAAAACCTCAGCACCCAGTAGACATGTTTTCTGGATGGGCCAAGCAGACACTGTATGGTGGGAAATCATGCGATGATGCAATTCCGTGGAGGTTCACCACAACTCATCTTTGCATATTCTTCACTAGCAACGTGGATAAAATGAGAAGTGGGTGAACCCTTGGACACTTTGATTCATTTTCTTTGGCTGGGCCAAGGCAAGATTTTGATCATGCATGTTGCTTATTGTCATTCCCAACAGGATGAGAAAAATACTGTTATCTTTGCTAATGACATAAAAGACAATTCCATAGGTCGGTAATCTTTTGCTTAACCCAATGGCTTCCTCCAAAGACAAAGAGCAGCAAATCATAGCAGCTGATTGCTGTTGTGCTCAAGAAGATTTCATTGTAAAATGCTACTTTGTTTTTACAGTTCTTGGAATGCGCCACTACATACAAGTAATACATCCTGAAGAACTGGTAGGGAATAAAACAAATAAGGATTATGCCTATAAAGAAGAGATTTTTCAGTTGAGCCCAGAATTCCTGGTGAGACAGTAAGGAATGGCGAAACTTTCGCACCATGGACAATGTGATGAAGACCTGGAAACCCAAGAGAATCATCGCAATGGTTATGACAATGATGACTATCATATAGTTGACAACTTGTACATAATCGCGGGCAAGTTCTTTATGGAACCTAAAGCACTGCTGTTCGTTGTATTCTTCATGATTGCCATACTGAGAAACCACCAGGGGCACCACAATGATGATCACCAAAAGCCACAAGGCAGTACTAGCAGCAACTGCATGCAATTTTCTGTAGAATTCTACTTTGTCTTTACGCTTAAAGAAGATGAGGTACCTGATGACCAGGATCACCACATAGAAGAGGAAGGTGAGGTACATGTGTATATGTAACATGGCGCTCACAAATTTGCAGAAGGGTAGTCCGAACGTCCAAGTCCCCTTGATGAGGTACACCAAACGGAAAGGCACAGTCAGCAGGAACACCCCATGAACCACCACCAGGTTAATGACTGCCATGGTGGTCACTGAACGCGAGTTCATTTTTACCAGTAAGAACAGGATGGAGATGACACCTGCCAGTCCTCCAATGAGCACTATGACGTAAAGCGGGGTTAAATGGTACGCCAGTATAGGATCACAAGAGGAATTCCTGGAGGTATTGTATCCATCCATTCTTCAAACATTGCCCGCAGAAACAAAAACACCAGCACACCTGGACAAGCTTCCAGATGTTTGTTCACAACTCCTCCAAGGCACTGACAAGCTGACTCTGTAGTTTATCTGTCTTCACAGCATATGCTTTATATGCTTTTGAAATGAAGATAGCACTCTCTGCTTATTTGCAATCTCTACACCTAAAACAGCAAGCCATTTCATTAGTATGTTTGACATTGATAATAACACAGTACTGCAAACAGAGTTTAAAAAGAGGATCACAGTTCTGAAAGGTCAAGGTCAAGGGTCCAAGCTTGATGATGTCTTTTCTGACAGAGGTGAGGGGAGGTAATAGAACATAGGGACTATGAATTTGAATGCATCTCTTCTAATATCTCTGTCACTTTCCACAGAGGCATCAGGATTTAGTCATGAGGATTCTACCCCAACAGACATGCTGAGTGGCTGATGAAGTGATACAGAATATTCTTAACATTGTTCTGTTTCTCTAAGTCCTTCTAAGTAATTTAGCAAATGACTCAAATATATTCATACTTAACTCCTTATGAATGCTGACTAATTTGATCAAAGCTCAGAGAAGTCAAGGCAATAGAACGCTTTACAAAACTGCTTTCCTCATGATAGTTTTAACATCATCCTACATAAAGCCTTGGATAAGTTCTTCCCCTGAAATGTGACATGGCTGCCAATCTCTCCTTGTGTGGCTCCAAATGCTTGCAAATTTAAGAAGACACACTCTCACTTCTTGGGGCTCCTGTAAAACCCTCTTTATGAATACTCAGTCCTCTCCAATCCATTCTCCAAATTCTTATTTTTATTATTTATTTTATTTTATGTGTATGGGCATTTTGCCTGCATCCATAATTGTTCAACACAGGAGTGCTTGGTGTTCAAAGAAGCCAGAAGAGGATGTCAGATAACTCTGGAGATGGGGTCACAGATGGTTATAAACCACGAAGTGTATACTGGAAGTCACATCTAATTTCCTATTTAAATCTTTCAGTGGTTTCTCATCCCAAAAGATCAATAATATCCTTAATTCTAGTATGAAATTCTCAAGAAATTAATTAAAACATATATATATATATTTTTTTAAGTCCAGAATGTGCTGGATTACAGTGCCCAGCCTTCTTGGGAGGGAAAGAAGCTTGGTCTTGCCCAGTGCTCTGATTTGAACAGTTGCATAATAATGAAAACATCTAAGATATTTGTTTACTGACATAAGGAAAACTGGGACTGAGCAAGAACAGTAATTGAACTATGTGCTGGGTACCTAATATTTGCAACACATTTGCAATTATTCTCTCTCTCTCTCTTTCTCTCTCTCTCTCTCTCTCTCTCTCTCTCAGTTTTTTGAGACAGGGTTTTTCTGTGTAGCCTTGGCTGTCCTGGGCTCACTTTGTGGACCAGGCTGGACTCAAATTCAAAACAATCCACCTACCTCTACCTTCCTAAGTACTGAAATTAAAGGCATGCACCACCGTGCCTGGCTTTGCAACTATTCTTAATGCTTTTCTGAACACTTTTTCAAGCAATGTATTCTTATCAAAATTATAAACCAAATGGTATACACAGTGTTGATGAATCTCAGGAACTTTGTATAAATCATAAATTTTCAGTGAGGTAACAGTGCTTCTAAAGGTACAAAAAAAGGTTAATGAAGTATAAGAAAAACATCTATCAAGTAGAAATGTGTGTCTAGTAACTAACCAGACACAGAGAGACAGAGAAGACAATTAGAAAAAATCTGTTAAATGTTTTCTAGGAAAATAATAATTTCTAAAAAGTTGAGAAATTCTATAGTAATACAAAATGCTACAAAGTATGTGTGTTATATAATTTTTTTCTAGGAAATTCAAAAGTAATGTTAGAGATAAAACAGATAAATGTAGCCCAAGTTGTAAGGGGAGAGGTGGGCTTTAAAGTGGCATATAGAACATTGAGGAGAATAGATGTCTGATGTCATCATTGAACTATACACTTAAAATGATGAATGCTCATATATTTTCTTTACCTCCATTAAAACATAATGGTATCCTAACCTGAGAAACCCTTTGCCTTTGTGGGCACAGAAAATTCCAGAAAGCTGTTGCCTGCTTAACTGTATCTCCTTAGATGCTCTGACAAGTTTGCTGTTATATTGTGTAATATCATTAATTGCTTTTACTTTTTCTCTGTGAAAGAGCAGTTCTGTCGAGTGGACATTGTCTTGTTTTCATCAGAGTCAAGCATCGATGTGCCACCAAAACATCTGTTCACCATTTCCTTCAGCCGTTAGCATGGTAAGACTGGTTCCTGAAAGAAAAGAGGAAAGTCTGTTATCTGTCATTTGAATCAATCTCTTCATAAACTTCCATGAGCACTGCCTTTCAAGTATTGGAAGCATGTATTAAATGATTTCTATGTGCCAGAACTACATTATTTATTCTCACAGTAAGCTCTCAGCTGCATAACATGTTATTACATGGAACTTTAGGTGATGAAACAGCCTGACGGCCTTCCTGCCTGTCTCCCCGTAAGAAAGAGGGGAGATCATGAACCAAAAGCATGTAGAGTGGTTACCTCTTTCTTGCTTCCTTCACTGTTACAGACTTCCTGAAGCTATAGTTCCTGAATGTGAGTTGCTGTTGGAGCCAAGAATTGGCTGGTGATGGGTGACCGGCCATGAAAAAGCATTAGCTCATTTGGTAGCACATTAGTGAGATGATCCGTTTGCTCTGGGGCGGCTGTGGCAGAATTCCGCTATTCAACACTGTACGTTCCAGCATGATATGTTAAACATCCATCATACATTTTATTGAATGAATATGGAGTAAAGCAATTCAAAGTCAAATTAAGAGATAGAGGTTTTTAGGCTGAGTTAAGGAAGGGGTTCCGCTTCACTCTATTTACAAATGTCAGTCTTTAAACGTAAGAGTCAATACAAACAGTGTGGTGTGCTCATCAGGCGAAGTGCTGATCGCTGTGAAATGCTCTCTCCATTTCTTTTAGTTTTGGAAACAGAGTCTGACTGTCAGGCCCGTGTAGTTAGGATTTATTGTCGACATGACTCAATTAGAGTCACCTGGGATGAGAGGAGATCAGTTGAGGAGTTGCTGACATCAGATTGTCCTGCGGCCATGAGAGTGAGACTATCTTGATTGATGTGGCCCAAGCTACTGTTGACAGCACCATCCCTATACAGGTGTTCTGGGCTGAATACAAAACCTAGCTGGGCATGAGCCAGCAAGCAGAATTATCCAGTGGTATCTGCTTCAAGTTCCTGCTCTGCTTCAGTCACTGCCCTTACATCCCTTAGTGATAGACTGTAACTTGTAAAATTAAGTAAGTTCCCTCCTCCCCCAAGTTGCTTTTGATTTGTGTTTTATCATAGCCACAGAAAGCCAAACCAGGACAGAGTCTGTATGAGCCTCAGACTCCTAATTCTTAGCCTGAGCTGGCTCACTGGCCAAATACTGAGATTATGAGTATACACCAACATACCTAGATCTGACTTCAGTGTTTGTGATAATACTTTTCTTTTAAAATCTACCTTTTCTGGTGTTCTTGAGCCTATTTTGTTTACAGCTCAACCTCTTGGTTGCAACCCCTTTGAGGGGGTCTCATATCAGATTTCCTGTATATTAGATATTTATATTATGATTCTTAACAGTAGTAAAATTACAATTATAAATTAGCAACAAAATAATTTTACGGTTGGGGTCATGATAACACGAAGAACTGTGCTAAAGGGTTGCAGCATTAGGATGGTTGACAATCATTGGCTAAACGTTTATACTTTGTACCTGTTTTCATTATCTTTGCTTATAGGTTTAAGAATTCATAGATTTAAAATATTTCTTTTTAAACAAAAAAAAATGTGTTTGCCTTCTCTGTTACAGTTCTACAAATTCAGAGTACTTTGGCTCTATTTACCCCTTCCTTCCATCTTATTTTTGTTTTTTTTTTTTATGGATTTTAAGTCTATGTATGCTTTATTGTCCTAGAATAAATGAACATATAGTTTTTGGAAATTTTTAGACAAACCATACAAAATGGCCTCTGTCAGCAAAGTCAAATTGGTGTTTTTAATGTTTAAAATACCAATGGTTTAATGTTCCCCATTTGAGTTAAAATAATCAAACTTGTCTGTCTACTACAACTAAACAAAGTTAGATTAGCTGGACAATGTATTCTAATGGAGTGGTCAGCAGATTTTAGCCATCAAAACTAGATAATAAATGTGGGAAATCACTGATAAGATTAAGATAAACTGCCATCCTTCTTAAAAGAAATGCATAAATTGGGACAGGTAACTATCCCTAAAGATCTTTGGAAGGGGTATATAAAAACCTACCTCTGTAGAAGCTTTCCAATATATATACATATAAAAAAAACATTTAAAAGGAGTCACCAAATAATGAGGGAGACAATACTCAGTTGGACATCTTATATCCCCAAGTAAAACCTCCAGTGATAGGAATGATTTTTTTTTCTGTAGTGTTTCTTAAGATTGTGTCCATTAAATGAATACAATAAAAGGAAGAAATATTGACATGAGAGACCAAAGGATTAAAAAGTACATACTGAGCTAAAAAGTTTAAAACATATCAAGGCCAGTTGACCCTGCTGCTTTTAAGTAGATTCAGCCAACTGCAAGGAAGAGCTGACCTTGCTGTTCATTAGAGATATTGTTGCCAGGAAACTAGCCTGGCCCCCAATTCGTTCCAACCCATACCTTTTTGCCTAAGAAGAGCAAAGGACAGGACTGAAGCCCAAGGTCAGCATTTTCTCCCAACCCTTCCTCTGCCCCCACCCCCCACACATGCACAAGAGAGAGAGAAAACAAAGAAAACCGGAACTGGTCATGATTCTGGCACTTCCCACTGCAAATAGTTTTGAAATGTAGCATCCCCTTTTTCTGTATTAACCAATAGAATCTTTCTAGGCTAGAATCCCCTACTTTAGGCATGCTGGGAGAGCCACCCACGATCAGGAGCTCAGGCTCTTTGCTGGAT